TTGTCATATCTGACATTTTTTTTTTTTAATTTCAGCCTTCATTTTTGCATACGTAGCATACACGTAGCTAAGCATGCAACAATTCTACAGTGCAGTAAAACATTAAAATTCATCTCATTAAAACCCAGTTTAAAATTCCAACCTGCAAACTGGTCGCGTTTATCGAAGCTTCGGCAAATACTCGATCCTTATAAGAAAATTTTTATTTAAATTTGAACGGCTTTATGTTAGCGTCGTTTGTTTTTACGATACCAGACGAAGGCCGGGGAAAAAACCTTAAATTGATATTGCGTTTTCTGTTAGTTCGTGCCTCTATGCTCTGACGTCATTTCGAACCCTGTCAAGGCCAATCGCCCCAAGTCGTCACGGTCATACATTCTAAGAGAAACCTGAAATTTATTTGGGTTTCTCTCTTTAACAACACCAAATAATTGTTGTCCATTTTAGAAAAAGAAACTTGAAACTTTTAGTGAGAAGTGAAAGACCATTTCCCTCGCGAAATGTCTCTGAAAAACAAGTTTTATCTTTTAGCGACTTTAGCTAACAACGAAAACATTTTTTGTAAGGGTCTTTCCCGGTGGAATACGCCCGCTCAAATTGATTGGTTCATTAGCTGCCAGTCATCTGTAATCATGGCAACAAGGATCGGAAAAACGTCAATTTTACCAGGAGTTTCACGGAAGTTCTAGAAAAATTAAATGAGCAGATGAGAACGAACGGCTAGAAAGAATCTCAACTTGTGGGCGAAATTGATTGTTTTGTGTTGGATACTTCGATAGAATTTAAGTGGGAAATCAGCTTCGACTACGTTCCTACAGCTGTAGTTTCCTTACCTACCAGAGCGACGACTTCAGAAACCAAATTGCGGATTCGTGGTGCAATGTGCCGGTTGGCGATTCCGTGACAGGTTGAAATAATTCATCACATTTGGCTTGTTCAGTACTTTTGCCGTAGCCAACAGTATAGTATACTCTGATTTTAAGTTCTAGCCCGTCTAGCATTTCGTCGATTTGTTGTTTGTATTTTACACATCACTGAAAAGATTGTTTACCGTGACGGTGATACGGTTAGGATCCTCACCGTGTCGATTAGAATCTTTAATTATATCAACTTCCTTGGCGATTCGGTTGAGTTTCTCTGGATCACCGCAGTGAAATGTGTCCGACAGAGGATAAAAGAGTGGAGCAGGAACAATTTGTTCAATCTGCCGTGAAGAAACAGCAGAGAAATAAACGAAAACGAGAGCCTGACATGTTTGTGGCAGCAGTTTTGGAATGCACTGTGCGAAGAATTTGTAGCGAAGTTTGCTCAAGTTACTTCTGTGTTTGTTCTTCCTCCAAAAAGAAGAGGAAATTGAGCATAAGCCGAGAGTCTAATGAAACAGATACGACAGATTTAATTCCTGATGGCGGAGATAGCACATCTGAAATACAAAATAACTCCTTGTATGAACTTCAGGAAATTATCACCATGTCTGATAAACCGCAGAGCACTGCAAGCGAGGACTCGCAGCTCGAGGAATTTCTTCAGAGCTTAACAACAGAACTGAGAAATTTGCCAACGTTTGAAGATGTGAATGAACTGTTAAGAGAGATCGAAGGCGATTCATCCCACCTAGATGTTTTGGGTGACGAGATCGAATCACTGCTAAACACTAGTAGCGATCCGTTTTACCCAGGACTTCTTGAGGTATTGTTCCCATAAATTCTAACAGAGAATATGTAGGTTAAGAATTATATTTTATAATTTCATGATGATATGGACCAGTGTGGGAATTTCTGTACCAATTCTGACGATATAAAAGTTAATTTTGGCCCTCAAAAGTCCATCAGAATTTACACTGCAAAACGGAAGTTCCAAATTTTTGCCATACTTCCGCTCGGAAAATTGACGTCATGGTTCGTTCCTGTATATTTTTTATTATTTCAAACTTATGTTTCCTAATTTTTTTGTTTTTGTAATCTATTCTCTCGCATGCAATGTAAAAAAGGGAAAGTATAAGCTTGTAAATTATTTATAGCATAACGAGCTATTATTTATATATAGCTAATTCTCTGAGGAATATTTACATATTAAGTCAGATGATATATTTAAAGAGAAAGAGATTGTAGGAAAGGTTAGAATCCAAGGTTCACGAGCCAAATCCAAAGAGTAAGTGTAAATCTGGATTCTGATAATTTTTAAGTATAAATATATGTCAAACATAGTGTATCTGAAAAGTTTTCATATCAATAAAAAATATATGATGTTTATTCAATTTTTTAAGTATAAGCTATTGAAATTTGCAGTCATTAAAGAGGCATACTTAGAACAGTTTTGTCAAAAAATTGTCTTTTCATGTTATCCACCTTGTCTGTTGTACTGGCATATTTTCAGAGCTCTTGCCTTTCAACTCTTTTCCTCACATATGTATTTGTCCTGTTCACATGGGAAAGTGGAATGGTTTGATTTCCAAAAATTAGATCTTTAACCTGTTAAACCCTTAGAGTGACCAGCATCTACTTTTTCCTTACAACATCACCCCTGAATCAATCATTAAAGGCAAGAGGATAAAGGAAATGATCGCTAAATAAATAATCCCTTGACTGTTACACAAATTCTCCTGGTCAGCATCTTAGGGAATGTATAGAGAACAGTATGGAGAATATCAATACTGATATTAGGATGTAAAAGGGTTAAGTTAGCAGGCCAGGATGATCTCTCATGTTAGCTCTCCTGCCTGGAACCTTGTACACTCTAACATCAGTACACATATTTACCATACTGCTCTCTATACATTTAAACAGTTGAATTATCAACAGTGAATGTCTGCTGTTATTAAATGCAGAGGAAAAATAAAATATCTCAGAGTATCTATTCTTAATCAAGTCTGTGTCATGCATCTATCTTGAATCCTTGCACCAGGTAGGGGAAGGGAAGAGAAGGGGGGGAAGATATTTTTACCCAAATAACCTAAACATGACTGTGCTTTCTCCCTCCAATGAACAACAACAACTTTATTTGTACTCTACATTAAATCTTTATGATACAACAAATATATATATTACACAAAAAATGAAGAGAGTACAGGCTGTCCATAATAACCATTGAGAGCTAAAAAGATAGTGCAGCCTTACTTAGGTTATTAATAAATTATTACATTAAAGGGTCAGGTACCACACACGTGCACACACCTCACAAACACAAAAAGGAAAAAGAAAAAAAGCTAGTAGGAAAAGAGAGACAACAAAAGAAAGCTAAATATACCAGTATTTAACAACAGAAAGCGAGAAAAAATATAATTTTGGTAAATCTGCAATCAATATTTAGCTGATAAGAATTGAATTACCGGTAATCTCTTTCTTAAAAACTTTTGAGAGAGAGAAGCTTTATGTTGTCACTTATATCATTCATTGGGGACATGATTTTGGAACAGCTGATATTTTAAGAGGGTTTATTTTGTATCGCTACGGCAAAATCTCAGTGGAAAATGTAAAAAAAAAAAAAAAATGTTGATGAAAAGTTTTATTGTATTTGTTGAAATGCTGCACTGTACAACCAAGTTATCCTGAAAATGACTGTTGCCAGAGACAGAGAACGAAATAATCCAAAGGCCAAGTGGAAGTCATTATTTTTCAGTAAGGAGTTGTTTTTCAGTCAAAGTCTAGTCTATGAATAAATACTTCAAGTTCTTTTGAAACCCAAGTTACATACACATTGATCATCAGTTGTTATCAGTTAGGTTTTATTCATAAGGAAAGCATCTGTGTTCAACATTTAAGTTGAGAATCAGATTCTAAAAAAAAAAAAACATTAAAACAAAACAGAAATGTATAATTACCTATTGAAATTATTTTTTTGGGTGTTATGATTTGTGTTTAACAGTATTAAAAATTGGACATTCCATTTTGCTTTGATATATCTGATGTTGGTGGCATCCTGTTGTCATTGTCAAATATGGTAGAGATTTGCATGCTAGTGTGGAAAATGAAACAACACTTGAAAAAAAAAAAGGATCAGGTAATGAACAAGAAGTTTTGTATGAATGAAGCCAGTGTTTGGACTGTTCTTGATAAATCTTGACCGTAGAAATGATTTATGTCTTTTTGGTCTGTCATATCTTAGGAGGGTAAGGGAGGGAATTTTTTTCCAGCCCTAGGAAAATAAAAAACCTGGGGTGTACAAACTCCACAGATCTTAACCCTTTAACTTCAAGAAGTGATTAACATGTAACTTCTCCCTGTAACATCTTTACATCTGTTTTGTTTAATAAACAGGTGTTGCCTCTTGTTGACAGTTTTATTCGATTTATATTTTTATTTTATCGTTTTTCTGTCTCTAAATCTGCTTACCTGGAGAATCTGCTAACCCGTAAAGTGAGACTGTTGTAACGATCCACCACAGAAGTAAGTTTATATTGAAGTTTTTGAATTTAGTTACAAGATAGACTTGATTTGCATTTGTTCTAATTGCGAATTATAAATGTATTTCTTTTAGATCAAATAATTATTAAAGCTTGGTTTGATATTAAAAGGTTTGTGGTGGTCATTTGATCTAACCAGTTCTGAGTAAGGAAATAACATCATCCATCAAACAGACTGTAAGAATGTTCACACTTAGCAGATGGAATTTGTTCACTTGATTTAAGACCAAATTCTTGTAAATAATTTACAAGGAAATGTGTCCCAGCTAAAGGGTAGAACTAACAATTGCATCTTAGGATTTCAAGGGTTAACTACTGACCTTTTAAAACAACTTATCCACTTCATCAGTCTAGGATAACCAAATTAACTTAAAAATGGATTGTCTCAACTCCATGACCTGCTATTTTAGCACAAGTGGCTGGGTAAGTCAAATTCTCAATGCATCCTAAAATACCTTTACATTCAGGGTTGCATCCAGGGTGTTTGGCAGTATAATGACAGTCTAAAGGATTTGAAAAGGAAAAAATACTAGCCACTAAATCTGTATAAATCATCAATCTGACATCCACTAATGTCCACAGAACAGACCTTGTTGAGTTTTGTTGAAATTTCTCTTTATTGACAGTGTGGTTGTGATATTCTAATATGATCCTATGTTTGCAAAGTAAAATAATATTAGAAGAAGCAAAAGACTTATTGCCAGGAAAAACTTAAGCACTACTTTTTTTTGTATTTTTAAGGCAAGTGGGAGCAAGTGCTAGGCAGGCACAAAGCGATAGTCTCTTGAGAGATGACTCTCTCTTTGCACATACCTTGGGCTCATGTCCACTGGACTGAGCAACACAAAAAGTTACCCCCAATCTGAAAGCTCGCATCTCAAGGAAAACAGATTTACAAACAGGGAGATAGGCTGCAACACAGAATGGCAAACTGCTAACAAAATAAAAATCAAACCATGGTATAAACAATACAAAGGAGCTCTGATACTGCCTAAATTTACTGAAGTTATTGACTGAATTCTTTGACCAATCACTTCATCAGAAAAGCAAACATAGGTCATAACCTAATTTTCCTGCTACAACTTGAGCAATAAAACACATGCTTCCTTTTTCTTTCAAGGGAGAAATGATTCATTTGATGTTTCACAAGTTATGAACTATACAAGATTAACATAATGTGACCTTCTGGACTAATTGCAAACTGTTTAAACTTGAACTACACGTTTTTCATTGGAACACCAACCCACTTCAGTGGTACAAATGAAGTGTTTTCATGTATGACAACATAATGCATTGACAACAAATCTAACGTTCAAGTTTCAAACTGAATGACAAACCATTCTAACTAACAGGAATGTTACACAAACTGCCTCACGATTTGTCCCTTCGACTCGCAGTGAAACTATTCTTCACCATATAATATAGAAATGTACAGCAATTAATTTATTAACTGTTCATAAACTCCTACTTTTCAATATAAAATAATATAAAATACATTACTTGTCTTTTTATTTATATTCCACACTTTTCCAATAGAACACTTTATATTAAATGATGGAATGGATGTAAATAACTGGTAACAAAATAATACAAACTCAAGATATACTGACAAAATCTTTACACTGAGCACTACACTTTCTGTGGATCACTGTTCAAGAAACTAAGCAAGGAGAGATGGTCCAAATATTTCAGATGGCATATGCCATAAGCATTTTTTTAACAACCAAAATTTCCCCTCTAATAAAACAGTCCATATAAATGAATACAACCGCCCACTGCTCAGTATAAACCAACAAATCTTTTAAAAAAATTGTATCTTCCAGCCTTTGGCCTTTTGGCTTCTGCAGCAAACTATTTTCAACATGAAATAATACAACTTATTGTCAATAATAGCTAAAGAGTGTGGTATCCATATACCATAATACGTCATTCATACAATGTTTCTGAATTGCCATTACCTAAAAAGTAGGTTGCTTTTCTCTGCCAGATTATCATGTAATTACAAACACAAAAAAAGTACAAAAATACATGTTTCATGCAGATAATAATAGTATCTTACTCATTGGCAAAATCTAACTAATAGTTAAAGAATATCATTAAAAACTAATAATAAATATTAATCTTGCATTTCTTCAGGCACATCATGAGGGTTGACAATTCCAGGTACAGAGAGTTGAACTTTTCGTTTCTCTTCCTGAGCTGATTTCAGCTGCTGATCACGCTCTTCCAAATACAGGTCACTGACATCTTCACCTCTGTATTCCTGGAAAACATAAACAGGACAGAACTGAGTTTTAACATCTATATTATCACACATGTACATACTACAATTTGAGGATTGTGATTGATAAGCCATCAAAATACACAATTCACACTAGAAGTTAACTGGTATATGATTACTCTGTACTAGTTGTCGTTGCTTTTCCTTTACAAACTAACACTCAGTGATGAATAAATATATTGCTGTTTTAAAAAAATACAAATTTGTTACTGGAACTTCTTGGACATAAGGTGATTGTCATATTAATTGGTCTAATAGCTCATATCCACTTTACATTTATATTTGAAACATTTCTTTCAAAACAATTAAGTGAATAAACACAACACAAAGCAGACAGGATACCTTGATTTGCACCATGAAGTCTCGTAAATGTTCCTTGAACGCTGGAATGTTTTGATTTAGATCAAAAAGCCCTTGGACAGTCAGCTTAATCTGTGCACTAACCAGAATAAATATCACCATTAGAAAAAGTTAACAAAATAAACTCTGACATTCTTACATGTTGAAATTGTTTTAATCCCACAATTACCATCAGAAATTTGAGAGTAGTTGTGTTAATTACCAATTCACAGTTTTGGTGGGTTTCACTGTTTTTTCTTAACAGATTCACTTTATTAAACATGATTGACAAGTGTTCTTAACTTGAGAGCCTATGAAAGAACTTCCAACATCATTAAACTTGATATTGATCACATTGCACAAAGCTAGGTTACGGGCTGTATGCAAACAGGCACCACTTACTCTTGCAAATGAGGAAAAGCTTGCTTGAGAAGATTGGCTATGCACTCTTGAACATATGCCTAAAACCAGGAAACATGATTGAGTTAAAAATAGTTGAAATAGCAAGACTTTCACAAAGAGTAGAAACATAAACTGTACAAATTATAAACAAGTAGAATTGTAGGGCTTGTGTAACCACACACACCTGATTTGTGGGATACTGTGTTGCTTCTGCAGCAAAAAGAGGCTCTGAAACTTTCCCTGATTCCACTAAACTGAACATGTGTGCCAAGATTGTTGCATGCATTGTTAAACCTAAGGACACAAGGAAACAGTTAACTTTATCAATATAAGTTGACAGTGACATCTACCGAGTGTAAAACATAGCCAGCTAACAAGTTAAGAAGTTACACCACATGACTGAAAAAAGTTCAGCAATCAATAAAGTAATGAAATCATAGCCTATGAGAGACTTGACCTTACTTTCAAGGGGCATGGTATTTATAGTCACTGGGATGAGAGACTGCTGGTGTGCATATCCTTACATAGGCACTACAGTTAACTTTGCATAATAACAAGTCCAGAAAGACTGGATACACTTAATAATATTCTGGAAGTATAAAGTGAGTATTTTCTAATGAAATAAATTTTAAACACAACTTGGACCATGTCCAAAAATGTTACGTTTGCATTTCTTTCTTAGGGATGGCTTCATTGTTTCCACCTGTGTTGAACACAAAGTACCATTATCCAACAGTACCTGCTGTATGTGATGTGTCTGTGACCACTGATAACACGTGCTGAACAATCATCATGTAGTACGTCTGATAGAAACTCTGTGCTGCAGCTTCTTGCTCCAAGCTTTTTAACAATGAGTACAGAATATGAAGCCCTATGAAAAAGTATCATTCCTTTAGGTTGATTACATGCCCTGATAATGATTGGTTTGCAGTACTTAATAATTAATGCAATTTTACGTGATGAAAGTACATACCAATGTCTGCAACATTTCTCATTGTGTGTTTGAAAGCCCAAACAATGGAATCTAAAACCAGCTTGAATTGTTGAGGTGGTATTGTTAATAAAGCTGAAAAACAAATAAAGAAGTGATTTGATATGGTCACATCTACAAGACTTAATTACAAGCAGCAAGACAGTTGTGTGCTGGCTTTACTTTGCCAAGACTTAAAGCAAAATTTCCTTGAATGACTGCTAAGTTATGGCTTCAAATAACAGCTTTAACAATAGAGATGTTCTTTGGTTAGAGATCATTTCCTCTCACCCCATGACCTGTTTGATTCAGCAGTGATGTATACAATAAATAAGAGGCTAGGTTAAATTTGGAGTTGAATTAACCAACCATTAGGCCAATGGGGCCTGTCAGCAAGAAAAATATCAGAGAGAAAGACCCTTTAAGGGTTTCAAAGAGAAGATTTTTAATTACATGCAAGCCTTATTACCTTGGAAGCAGTGTTGCACCACTGCTTGGAGAAGGAGGAAGAAGTTTGTTCTGTGTTCAGGGAACTCTTCAAAGTTCTGAAGAACCAAAAACAAAATGGGCTATTTCAGCATTCATACTCTTTACAACTTACAGAATTCTTACAAGGTTCCATGATTTATCATACAAATAAAAACAATGGCAACAGTCACCTAACCTTATTAATCATGTCCAGAGTGCATTCAAACACAGCATCAAATATCTTTGGCACATGCTCTGTGACATTTCTCTGAAGATTGAATAAAGAAAGAAATAGTCAAGACAAAATTAAAGTCAGGTTAACCAATTAAATACCAAATTACGACAACTTGTCCTTGATCACTCCCATTTTCCACAATTTAGTCAATTTACATGTTTTGACTTTGAGTTCCTGGTGGCTCTTGTGATATTTTCCTGAACTCTGATGGATCATTGTGTATTTCTTTTATAAAATAAAATTAGTAAACAATACACTGAGAAGTCCTTTATCACTATGAGAAAATTAATACAAACCTCTAATTTGTTAACAAAAGTTGCCATGGTACTTAGCACTTCAGGTTCCCGTGCATTAGGCACATTCCTCTGATAGTCACCCAGTACGGCATCGAGTAATGGAGGAATAAAGTTATCACACACAAGCTTTGCATCATTTGATTTGCCAACCCATGTGGAAATTAGTCTGAGGGTTTCTGTTTTCACTGTTCTCATTGCTCTTATAAGAGGCTGTTTTGTGACAATTTCACCATTTTCCGCTATTGCCACAGAAATGTTTTCACTAAGACAGCGGTAAACGTTAAGCATATCCAGGTATATTCTACCAAGCTGTGTAACAAAAGGGTGTCCAATTGATTTGCAGCCTTGAACATTTGTTTTCAGAATGTTTCCCAGCTGTTTGACAACTTCTATTTCCCTCAAATGATCGATATTCTAAAAAAAGAAAAAAAGAAATCTGACTCAAAGTTGTTTGGTTTGGCCAGAATATTTTGGTGTAAAGCACCAGTGTTCACAAAGACTAATGATTAAGGCTGTGTGTCAACAAAACACCAAAGTCAAAATCACACAACATAAAGAGGTAGCTGAAAAGCCACAACAGGCTCTGGATGTCTGGAAATGGATACTGGACCATCAACTTGACTGGTAGCCTATAATGTTAACAATGCTAGATCTTTAAAGTAAAATTCAGTACTATTCAACAGCTGATTCAATTTTCTTAACTTACCCTTGTTGCTTCTTTGACAATGTTGTCCCAGGCTTGATTTGGAAGTGACATGTACTTCTCAATTAATCTCTCCATGACAACAGAATCCTGCATATGATATACAGAACATTTTTCATGTAACTTTTTCTTAAAGTTTAAAAGGAAAGTCTGCAAAAAGATAATACATAAACTTTATGTTACTCACAGTTTGTGCACTGATCATATATCCAACTGCCTCATAGAAAGTGTGAACCTAAAAATAAGAAAAGGGAAATATTAGAATGTTTTTGGGGTCTGTTTGCCATTAATTTAATGGAAAACATATTGAAAAAGCAAATAATGAAACAAAATAGACCAGTAAGTTATTTCAATAGCACTCTAGATTGTATTTTGATCATGTTTCTTAAATTCAATCTGCCACATAATCCATGAACAACATAAAATTTACCTGCTGTGGTTGGAGGTCACAGATAATGGACTGTGTACTGTTTAGTATTTCCTCAATAAAAGGCATAACCTCGCCAACCTGCACCTAATAAAGAGTGAATAATAAGTACAGTTTATTTACAAGCTTTTAGCAATAGACTGGTAAAATGGTGTTTTTTTTTCTACCTGGGTGAAATGTCTTCTGCATTTCTGGGCTATTTTGATAAAAGTATCGCAAGCCATGTCCTGGACACCGTCATGTGTTTCTATAACACAAAATACAATAATTTACTGATGAATGTTGATGAATCTATAAATTATGCCCCACCCATCTAGTGACCAATTATTTCCAATGCTACCAGAGCTGTAAGTGCCTCACCAAAATAAAGGATACAAAGCTTACCATGCATAAACTCAAATAGTTTGTTAACCACTGTCTTCAAAAACTTCCAATGGGCCCTAGAAAGAAGAAATAGTTATAATCAGAAATTTTTTCCCTTATGGCTAAGGTACCAACGAAACAAAATGCAATCACACATACAGTCATGCAGAGATACTGCATGAAATACGTATATTAAGCTGCATGTTTACACACCTCAAGAATCTTGGATACTGCCCAACAATATACATTATATTTGAGGCAATAATTGCCTTGTTGTCCTTCCCGCGTTTAATTTCACATAAGCCAAGGAGATCCTATTAATAAAAAAAATTCCACAATGAAAATTGGACAATGTACAAAAATATACTTGGGATTAAAAAAAAAAACAATAAAAATTAAAATTTTTTTTTTTTTGCTTGTAAGTCTACGGAGCAGATAAGCAAGAAGATGTCTTAAATTCAGACTACTCATTAACACAGGCTAATGTAATGTTCAAGGTGGTAAAGTTCAACCAACATTCCTCAAGCATGTTGATTTATACCATAAAGGATAAACATATAATTTAAGAACAAGTCTTATTTTGTAAGATGTGAAGGAAGATATATCATTTTTATTCATTACCTTGATTACAGTAACCAAAAATCTCTTTTCATCCTCTTCATGCATGGCTCCACTGATAGAGCCAACTGCCCAACAAAGCTGTTAAGTCATACAAATCAAACTGTTTATTATCAACTGTTAATGCACGAAACAAAATTATGATAAATACTGACAAGTATATCAAACATGAAATATTTTCCATGGTTAAAAATCTTTTCACACACACAAAGAATAATTCTAAACGTCCTTTTCAAAATATTGCAAGGGAAAAAAATATCTGAATAATATCACAACTAACCGTATTGAGATTTTTCCATGACCATTCAGTGCCATTAACTTGATTCTGTAATTTTTCTGTCATTATTCTCTCAGTGTCTTGGTAATCCAAATGGGTGAGATAAACTTAACATGCGATAAGAAAAAAAAGTGAGGAAGCTTTTCACATCTCATATTAACAATCACTGTTGCACTCTGAATTAGCATTAATTATTTAAATTCATTTCAAAATGTGTAAAAACATTTGCATAGCTCATCTTCCATTGTTATATTTACCTAAGGTTTCCCTCATGTTCTTGTACAGGTTGATAGCATCTGTATCCTTCATGAACTCCCTGACAACTTCTCCTTGATCATTTTCAACCACCAGAACCTGTTAAGAGTGACACAGCAGCAAAATGAGTGCACATGCAACCCTACTCAAGCCATATGTGCATTCAGGGCTGCAATTCGTCTTCTTCAAACATAAGCTGTTGTGGGTTTTTCTTCCAAGAGGACAAACTTTTTCTTCAGGGTGTTTGCCTACCAAGGATGCCATGACAAGAAGTGCTTAAGCAATAGCAAGTGTTACAAACTTTGTAGTCAAGTAACTGATGCTCAACTTCAGTCACTAAATTCACACCTGTTAGCACAATACTTTTTTTGTGGAGTGAGATAGGTGAAGTTGGAGGTTTGACAGAAATTTTACTATAGATGGCAACCCTAACTGTGAAAATAAGGAATGGAATTTTAAAAATGCAGCCGTTTTGCCTCAGTAGTGTGGAAATATCATCATTCCCATTCCTTTCCAGGCATCAATTTTTTGCAAGTGAGGAGCATGCATACTCATTTTGCCATCATGTTGTTTAGAGTAAATAAAAAAAAAGAAAGTTGTACTTCATCTTGATTCTATCAGCATCCCACAGATTTTCTCACCTCTTCTGGTTTGGCCATCCTTGCAATCATAGTCAGCCGTACCTAAATATGTCATGAACAAGTAACAAGGAAATACTTGAATAATTGTGAACAGAATGACATATCACCAAATAAATCAACTCTTGTTGATTCTTCTGTGGTCCTGAACATAACATGCAAAAACAAGACCTTTCAATGTTCAAAATTCAGAAAGGTCATAGTAGGTATGGAGCCTATGTGCACAATCGCACAGCAGTTTCTCAGGGTTTGAGCTAGTATTTGATCACTGGGGGACAATTTGTCCCCT